GTCAGAAACAGACTCAGACACAAGCACACCTGTTTTCAGGCCTGTATATGTTGATGCAGCAGAAATCACAGTGGCAGAGGTACCAGGGGGACAAAGCGGTCACCAGGGAAATGCACAGATAAGAATATATGGAGTGAGGTGTTGTGCAGTCCAGCCTCCATGCGTCTCATGAAGCTGTTTCTCCACTGTGTGGAATCTACCGCAGAAAGTGTACATTGTCCTAACTTGTGCAATAGAAAAAAAAAAAAAAAAAAAGCGGGGGCGGGATTCTGGATTCTGCAGAAAGGCGTTGACCCTAGAAGGTAAGCCTTCTCTTTGTCCTCAGAGTATCTGGGAGATTACCAGCCAGTCCTTACTTTCTTCTGTCCCCTCATAAGGCCCCTTGTCTCTGCCAGGTGTGGGCTGTTCCCTCCTGTCTCTCACACACCTGGGCTCTAGCTGCAGCTTCTCCTTTCTTTTTGGGGGTTCTTGTGAATCAGCATTTCAGAGGCATTGTTTCTCCTGCAGATTCAGGCAGAAAGGTGAGATTCTTAAGTCTGGTCCTGGATTTGCGTGCAAGATCCAGACCTCTGTGAAAAGAGAAACAGTTACAGGTGATAAAACTTCAGCTTTAATGCATTCTTCTTCACCTGGGGCAGAGGACTCAGGACCCCTCCTTGAGTTCTCTTTTTGTGATGAGAGGAAGCATCCTTAAAACCTATGTTAGAATTTAAAGACGGAATGTATTAGAATTCCCTTTCTTCTTTCCTTCCTCCCCCTTTTAAAAATTTTGCTCTTCAGTTTTATCATCAGTGAAGATAAACCATTTATGGCAAAATTGATTCTAGTTACCAAAGGACGGTGTATTATGATGAGTAATTATTAAACTAGCCCTTGGGTACCCACCTCAATTCTACACACAGCCGGTTGCTAACACCCTTTGGTTCCTACCTGTTTCTTCCCCACCATGTGGTCTTCCTGCTCCCACAGGTGAACATGCTCCTGCCTTTCCTTTCTGCATTCCTTTTAGTTCCACCACTTTGTGGAATGTTGCTTGAAGATGCTTTCTCTCTTACCTTAGGTCTTCTTTTGGGTTGTGCGTGTTTTGTTCACATTTCTGTTTTTAGGATTTATTCGTATTGCTGTGTGGAGCTGTAGTTCCTTCCTTTTCACTGCTGTACACTCTGGAATTTTATGAATATGCCAACACATAGATACCAATTTTACTTTAGATGGACATTGTTGGGGAGGTCAGTTTGATATGATTGCAAATATGTTTTTCTAACCGAAATTGTCCTGGTCTCCTCAAGCTGATTATTTCTTCTTTAGAAAAAAATTTCCAGACAGACTATAGACTCCCTGAAATGTAAATCAAATCTTACTCTTTTTGCCTAACAAGTAGACATAATTGTCCAGAACCTCCCACACACAGACTTCCTGGGAAGGCAGGGATCAAGACCCTCTGAGGATTAGAATCTTGAGAGCATCTTGGATGAATGTGGCTTAGCCAGGTTCCACCCAAAAGGAGACACTCTAGGTTAAAATGTCACTCTTAGGAGAGGACTGAAGTGTAAGGAACAGTCTTCTGAGATCAAGGCCCAGTTTCCTACAGGAGAGGGGGCAGTAGTAGACACTGCAGGGCTGGTAATAGAGGTGCCATACCCCATGTCAGTAGGTGGGGAATACAGGCTTAGGCAGTGGTCATCAGTGAGAGTGCGCACTGTGTGCCCTGACTAAAGGGTTCGCCTTGCATTCATCTCTGACCAAGATTTACACTCTACAAAATAGTATCTGCCCTCATCACTAGTTGAGCCTGCAGCTCCTCCTCTGTGAAATGGCTTTTCCCTTTCTCAGTCTGGGGTGGGGTTGGGAGCTGGGCATGATCACGCAAGAGTACTCTTTAAATGAATAAATTCCCTTTTTCTAAGTCTGGGCCTCAACAATTCCACACATGAGGTTTTATATCCCCTATTCCTAAACTCAGGGGGAGAGCATAGGAGCTTCATTCCTGGTTTTCCTGGTTGGGCGGAGGGACTTGTGAGCTTTGGAGTACAGGTAGGGGGAAGGGAGCCCCCATGAGTTCCTGCCCTGTGTGTGCAGTGTTGATAGCGTGGCTCCTACTCACTCCTGCTCAGCTCCGACATAGCCTCTCTCACCCTGTGACTCAGTTAGTTATTAAGCCCCAAGTCCCCTCTTTCAGTCCCAGATGGGTTGTCCTTTGCCCTTCTCTTTCTATTACAGCCTTTCTCATGCCTTTTGGAAAAGCTTATGGCTCTACTTTCATAAAACAACTATGAATCTAGCAACTCTTATTTCTTGCCAATTCAACAAGGGCAGGAAATTGTTTGCGTATTCTGAGTGTCTTGCTGTTTCCATAACAAATGTCTTTTCTATAACTTCTTTCTGAAACACTGATGCAATAGAATTTCTAAGAATCCAGAAGTGAATCATAAAATCATGTATGTCTGCACCATGGATTTCTTGACAATTTACTCATGGCTTGATAACTAGATGTGAAAAGGAAACATAATCAGATTTTCAGTTTGGCTAAACATTTAGCCAGGGCAATAGGAAGAATAAGTTCTGGAGAGCCTCTGGCAGCTGCCCAAATGGCCTCCAATCTATCTGTAGGTACTTGCTCAGTTTCAGGTTGCATATTTGCTCAGGGTCAGTGGCATGTAGAGATGACATTTGCTCAGTGTCAGTGGCAGGTAGAGATGCTCTTAGAAACTTTGGCAGGCTCCTATATGTGAATCACAGCAAAGACATGCCATCCTTTTAGATGACTCCTCTGCTTTTGAGAAAAAGCCTTCGTCTGTTTACTGGAATAGTGGAATAGACACACTCAGCAAATGGCAGAGTTTCACATTGGTTCTCTGACCTGTGGAAGGGCTATGATGTGATAGTAAAGACCAGTGGAAGCCATTAGAGCTGTTTCTACCAATAAAAATAGAAAAGCCAAGGCAATACGACGTTTCTGGAGGACCTGGAGAGATTAGTGTAACTGTGAAGGACTTGAAAGATCCAGGGCTGGCAGAAAATTATTGGCTTCTGGAGAATGACAGTGGATTCTCATCAGCTTCATCAGATGGGAACTGCAAATGCAGCTGCTGTACCAGGTGTGGTTTCATTTCTTGAGCAAATTAACACATCCCCTGGTGCATGGTGTGCATCTATCCATCTGGCAAATAGGTGGATTTTTTCTTGGTACCTGTAAGTAAATGCAACCAGAAGCAATTTCCTTCCAAGTGACTGGATTAGCTGCCTTCACCGTCCTAACTCAGATGATATCAACCCCCCAATCCTACGTCCAAATTAGTGCACAGGCACTTTGTTCACTTGTTTCTTTCAGAAGACATCACACTGGTCCTTTACACTGATCACATTATGCTGATGAGACCTAGTGATCAGGAGGTGGTCATGCCATTAGACATACTGGTAAGATGTTTGTGTGTGTCAGATTGTGGAAAATAAATCCCACAAAAATTCAGGTGGTTTCCTTTCAGTAAAATTTCCAGGCTACCAGTGACTGCAGCATGCAAAGACATCCCTTCTCAGGTGCAGGTGGGGTTTTTGCTTCAGGTCCCTTCTACCACAAACAAAGACACATGCCTAGTAAGCCTCTTTGGATTTTGGAGGCAACACTTGCCTCACTTGGGTACATCCTGTTGGCCTAATTATCCAGTATCCTAAAAAGCTGTTAATTTTGTGTTAGGCCCAGGACAAGAGAAGGTGCTACACCAGAACTAGGCTGCCATGCACTTTTCTCTGGCCTGGGACTCAGCAGGTGCACTGGTGCTTGAAGTGTCAGTGGCAGGTAAAGATGCGCTCAGAAACTTTTGCAGGGGCTTATACATGAATCATAGCACAGACCCTGAAGATTTTAGAGCGAAGCCATGCCATCCTTGGGGATAATTATTCTTCTTTTGAGAAAAAGCCTTTGTCTGTCTACTGGGCCTTAGTAGAGTGAATGCTTAACCATGACCTCCAATTTGCTATGAGGCCTGGCTGCGGGACAAGAGCCAGGTGTTGTCTCATGCACCCAGCCAAAATGTTGGGAAAGTACAGCAGCTCTTCATTACCAACCAGAGATGATCTATGCGAGATGAGGCTTAAGCAGGACATGAAGGCACAAGAAAGCTGCAGGACAGAAGGTCCAAATGTTTATAGCTCCACTTCTGCCGCATTGCCTTCTCTCTCCAGCCTGCACCTGTAGCTTTCTGGGGAGTCAGGCTTATTTCATTTAGTGTGCTTTAAAGACACATTCATGAGTTCTTGTCCTTTGCAGGGACATGGATGAAGCTGGAAACCATCATTCTCAGCACACTAACACAGGAACAGAAAACCAAACACCATATGTTTTCACTCATCAGCGGGAGTTGGACAATGAGAACATATGGACACAGGGACAGGAACATCACACCGGGGCCTGTCAGTGGTTAGGGGTCCAGGGCAGGGAGAACATTAAAACAAATACCTAATGCATGCTGGGCTGAAAACCTAGATGATGGGTAGATGGGTGCAGCCAACCACCATGGCACATGTATACCTATGTAACAAACCTGCACATTCTGCACGTGTATCCCAGAACTTAAAGTAAAATAACAATTAAAAAATAAGAATAAATAAAGACTCATTCATTCATGGATCACAAGTATCAGATTGTCATCCAGTTTTAAAGCTAATAATTTTCCATTGGGTGTACATCCTCGGATGGGCATTTGGGTCCTTTCCATCTCTTGCTTGTAATCAATAATGAGCAATGCTGTGAACATTGCTGTACAAACATGTGTACCACTCTCTTCCTTCAATCCTTTAGACGGTTTACCAGAAGTGGTATTTCTGAATCATATGGTAAACTTTTTGGGGAGTTGCCATAATGTTTTCCACAGTAGCCATGCCATTTTCCATGCAGAAATCACCCTTCTTCTGTGTTGCTCACACTGGGAGCTGGAGGCTGGAGCTGTTCCTATTCGGCCATCTTGGGTGCCCCCCGCCCCCCCACCGCAATGCATGCATTTTTCTAACTTGTACAATATTTTCTAAATGGGAATTCTCAAGGCAAGACATCCAACCCTGGAAAAAATAATTCTCTCTTTCTCTTCCAGAGGTTCTGGGGCACCAAAGACCTTGATCCTCAACAGGACCTGGGGAGAGAGGTAGAGAGAGTCTCTGTGTCATCCTGACCCTATCCAGGGCCCTTGCCTTCGCCAGGTGAGGGCCATTCATTCTCCATCTCTCACACACCTGGGCTCCATCTACACTCTCTCATTTTTCTCTGGGTGTCCATGTGCAATAAAATCTCAGATACTCACATTCTGGGAGAAAAGTGAGATTCCTAAGCCTAGTCCTTGATTTGTGTGCTACTTAGCTCAAAACCTCTTTTTTGATACTTAGCACCATGTAGGTGTGCAAATAAAACATAATCAGGTTTTTATCTGGCTTAAAAGTTAGACCAGGGTTATAATGAAGTGGAAGTATTGAAGAGTCCTTGGCAGCCTCCCAATTGGCTTCCAATTCATCTGTGGTTATTTGCTAAGTTTCAGGTTGCATAAGTGGAATAGTCACGCTCAGCAAATGGTACGGTTTCCCAAGAAATTCATGGTGAGGACAGAAATGATTTCACAACCCACTGCTGGAATCTTACAAATTCTGTTTCTACCACATCAGTGTTACAGAAAGAAGTTACAGAAAAGACATTTGTTCATTAAGAAAACAGCAAGACACTCAGAGTAGATACACAATTGCCTGTCCTAGGTGAACTGGCATGAAATAAGAATTTTTCAATTCATGGCTATTTCATTCAGGTAGAGCCATAGGACTTTCCCATAGGTGTCAGAAAGGTTGTAATAGAAAGAGAAGGGTAAGGGAGTGCCTGTAGGCTTCTGGACTGAGAGAGGGGATTTGGAATGTGAATAACTGAGTCGCGGGGTGTGAGGGGATGTGTCTGAGCTGAGTAGGACTGAGGGGGAGCCACATTCTACACTGAAAACAGAGTGGGGGGCACTCCTGGGGTCTCCCTTTCACTTACCTGGACTCCAAACCTCACAGGTCCCTTCACTCAACCAGGAAAAACAAAAGCAAAAACCCCTGCGCTGTCTCTCTTTCTCAGGTTAGGCATGGGGGATAAACAATTTTGTTTCAGGAAAGGTTGAGACCCAGACTTAGAAAAAGCTAACTCGTTCATGTCAAGAGTGCTCATGGCTTCTTCTCCGAGAAAACACCAAATGGCGGATGACGCCCGTGCAGCTGGGGGGCCCGGAGGCCCTGGTGGCCCTGGGATGGGGAACCGCGGTGGCTTCCGCGGAGGCTTCGGCAGTGGCATCCGGGGCCGGGGTCGCGGCCGCGGACTGGGCCGGGGCCGAGGCCGCGGAGCTCGCGGAGGCGAGGCCGAGGATAAGGAGTGGATGCCTGTCACCAAGCTGGGCCGCTTGGTCAAGGACATGAAGATCAAGTCCCTGGAGGGGATCTACCTCTTCTCTCTGCCCATTAAGGAATCTGAGATCATTGACTTTTTCTTGGGGGCCTCTGTCAAAGACGAGGTTTTGAAGATTATGCCGGTGCAGAAGCAGACCGGTGCTGGCCAGAGCACCAGGTTCAAGGCGTTTGTTGCTATCGGGGACTACAATGGCCACGTCGGCCTGGCTGTTAAGTGCTCCAAGGAGGTGGCCACCGCCATCCGTGGGGCCATCATCCTGGCCAAGCTCTCCATTGTCCCTGTGTGCAGAGGCTACTGAGGGAACAAGATCGGCAAGCCCCACACCGTCTCTTGCAAGGTGACAGGCCGCTGCGGCTCTGTGCTGGTGCACCTCATCCCTGCACCCAGGGGCACTGGCATGGTCTCAGCGGCTGTGCCCAAGAAGCTGCTCATGATGGCTGGTATTGATGACTGCTACACCTCAGCCCGGGGCTGCACTGCCACCCTGGGCAACTTTGCCAAGGCCACCTTTGATGCCATCTCTAAGACCTACAGCTACCTGACCCCTGACCTCTGGAAGGAGACTGTGTTTACCAAGTCTCCCTATCAGGAATTCACTGACCACTTTGTCAAGACCCGCACCAGAGTCTCCGTGCAGCGGGCCCAGGCTCCAGCTGTGGCTACAACATAGGGTTTTTATACAAGAAAAATAAAGTGAATTAAGCCTGCTACTAATAAAAAAAAAAAGAGTGCTCATGGATGACCACGCCCTGCTCCCATCCTCCCTGCAGACTGAGAAAGCAAAAAAGCCATTTCACAGAGGAGAAGCTGCAGGCTCCAATAGTGTCCAGGGCAGTCATTGCGTTGCTGAGTGTGAACCCTTGTTGGAGATGGATGCAAGGTGATCAGGGCACTGATGAGGATACACACTATCAGCTCTCTCTGATGGTCTTCCTTGCAGGTCTCATTCTTCTCCCCCCTACAGAGATGGAGTTATGACACCTCCATTGCCATCCCCTGCAGTGCCCAACACCATAGCCTATCCCCATGTCAGAGCCTGGACCTTGATCTCAGATGAACCCTCCTGGCACACTGGTCCACTCCTAAGATTGACTTTTCTCCCGGAGTGTTTGCTTTTGGGTGAACTCTGAGTCAGCTCCATCTGTCGGAGGTGCTCTAAAGATTCTAATCCTCAGTGGGTCATGGTTCTTGCCTTCTCAGTAAGTCTCTGTTTGCCTTATGAACGATTACTTGTATTCACCGTGAGAAAGGGAGTGATTTGCTTTAAATTTCAGGAAGTCCATGATACGTCTTGGGATTTTCCATGAAAAAAAAAATGATCAGCACGAGGAGACTGGGTAATTTTGTGTAGAAAGCAATGTTTACGATTGCCCCAAGCTGGGACCCTCCCAATGTCCATCAGGAGTAAAACTGGTATATATGTGTTGATCTATTTATAAAACTTCAAAGTGTACAGCAGTGAAAATGAAGGAACTACAGCTGCACACGGCAGTACAGATGAATCCTAAAAACACAAATCTGAACTAAAGATGCACCACCCAGAAGAAGTCTTCCAAGAAAACCATCTACAAGCAACATCCAACAAAGTGGTGAAACTGAGAGAAAAGCAAATAGGAAAGGCAGGAGCAGGGTTCTCTGTGGGGGCACGAAGGTCACATGGTGGGGAAGGAACAGGAAGATAGGAATCTCATCTTTCTCCCAGAATCTGCAGGAGAAGCAGGGAATCTGAGATTTCCATGCACACAGACTCCCACAGAGAGAGGACAGGGTGTGGCTGAAGCTTAGGTGTGTGAAACAGGAGAGCAGTCCTCACTCACCAGAGCCAAGGGGCCTGAGTTGGGCTCAGGAGAACACAAGGACTCTACCCACTTCTCCCCCCAGGTTCTGCTGAGGATCAAGGTCAGTGCTCTCCCAGAAAATTTGGCACAGAAAACAGAAGATTACATTCTATGGCCAACGCCTTTCCCCAGAAGCCCAGCCTGTTTCCTATTGCACAAGTTAGGAAAATGCAAACATCTCAGGTCGATTCTGCATGGTGGAAAAAAGGCTTCATGTGAGGCATGGAGGCTGGACTTGAAACCCTTCACCCTCACGCCATCCTCCTTATCTGTGCATTTTCCTGGTGACCCCTTTCTACCCCTGCTACCTCCCTCATGATCATGTGTGCTGCACCAACCACACAGGACTGCAAACAGGTGTGACTGTGACAAAGTTTATATCTAACACCCCATCCCTTACCCTATAGGGAAACCTTTCTGAGAGGGTCTTGGAATCTGGAATGAAGCCAGAGGGCAGGGCTGACAGGGATCATTTAAATGCCGCAACTCCAAGAGATTCACACAGAAGCCTGGACACAGTTCAGAAGAGCCACCCAGAGGGAGACAACAATGTCACTGCTATCCGTGAGTTAAAAAGGCACAGCCTTCAATAATTTCAGGTCACACAGAAAAGGGAAGAAGGAGATTTTATGGGATGAAAATATGAACATTTCTACTATGAATGCTTTACTGAGAGTTGTGGGTGTGTGGAAGAGAGACCCCAGGGCTATGGTATCTGAGATGCTTGTGGGGTCTGGGGTGTGGATGCTGGACCATTGTAACCCTCCGGGAGCATGTGATGGTGTCTGATGACAGTGAACTCTGCTAAAAATGATGTGACTTTAGATGGGAAGTGTATGACCCTCCAGGATATGGGTGGGTGTGTAAGTGATCATAATCAGATGACTGTGCTTTGTCTTTATGACTGTGATGTGCGTGTGAGCACAGCCGGACCAGTGTGTGAGCATCTTTATATGCACAGTGAGCAGGTGTGTGTGACTCAGTGGTGTGACTCTGTGTGACTGTGTGTGTGCTGGGATGTGACTGGGTGTTGAACTGGGAACGTGCATGTGGCCTTCTGTGCATGTGAACTTTCCTCCCCATATAGCAGTACCTCTGACTAAGCAGGTGTGCAACTTCCCTTGTGCGTCAACGTGGATCCCGGTGGCAGAACTGCTGGGATCTTGAGGACCTTGAGTTACTGAGGATTTATCTCTGAGCATTTATGAGAGCAGAATGCATGAATCCTCACCTTTTCCCAAGCAGAGTGGGGTGAGAAACACAGACTGTGGGGCTGAGGGTTCCTTAGGTGGAATCTGCACACGGTGACCCCCTGCTCCTGCCTCCAGCCTCGGGTCTCTCCCTGTCTCCCACCCTAACCTGTCCTTCCCATTGAGCGCCAGGATGGTGAGCAGATTCTGATTCACTAGAGAAGGACATTGAGGGACTTGATTTAAGAGACTGAATCATCCAAAACCAGGAAGGTAGAAGTTTAGCCTCTGTTCAGGCAGAGCTGACAGTGGATATTCATCAAGATGTTTGCTGAGGCCTGTAATCCCAGCACTTTGGGTGGCCGCATTGAAAGGACTATGTCAGGCCAGGACTAGTAGACCAGCCGGGAAACATAGCAAGGTTTCATCTTTCCAAAAATTTAAAAAAATGTAATTAAATGTGTTTTTGGGCGGGGCCCCCCCCCCCTGCAGCGTAGTTCCAGGCTACTTGGGGCCAGAGCAAGAGACACTGGAAGCCCAGGCCCTCACCTGCGTAATTTTTTTTTTTTTTTAACAGAGTCTCCGCTCCTGTTTTCCCAGCGGAGCGATGGTACCAACTCGGCTCACTGCACCTCCACTCCCAGGTTTCAAGTATCTCCTACCTCAGGGTTCCCGAGTAGCCCTGGGATTAACAAGGCCATGTCCCACACTCCTTGGCTCCATTTTTGTAATTTCCAGTAAGAGACGGGGTTTCCCATATGGGCCCAGCCTGGTCGAACTCCTGGACCTCCTGAGTGCCACCCTCAGGCCTCCACCAAACCACCAGTGCTGAGATTACAGAACGGAGCCACCGCCGCCCAGCCTGCCACATGAGTTTTGATGGCCACCTTGCATCCAGCCCTGGTGGACAGTTGGTGAAGACTGTTTCAAAAAGGAAAAATTACCCATCCACTTACAGATTCATCCAATAAACTTCCCTGACTCACAATCTTCCCATTGCAAGTTACTGAGGGTTTAACACTAGAAGACATGTGTTGCCCCTTCCTGGAAGGACGTCCAATTGCCCTTGATGGATTGTGAAGGCATGGCCTCCCACACACGGGGGTTTCCTGTCTCTTCCTGTCATTTTCCTTCTCCTTCAACAAGTGTTGTTTTTCTTACTGGCTGAATCTCCTACTGTTACATCCTCCACCATCTTTTTTCCGTTTCAGAGTTGAAGATGATCACAGGCTGTGTTCCACAAGGGAATCCTCCTGTTTGAGAGACCCCCAACAGTCCCTATACATGCCAAGGATTAGGCTAAAGGGTTTTACCATACGCAACTACTGTTATTATGCAAAAACATGATACAAAGAAGGTAAATTTTAGGATTACCATCCAATGAATGCGGGGAAAAACTGAGGCAGGGAGAGTTTTAAGCCAATAGATCTAAGGTCCCTTGTTTGGTTGGCAAGTGGCTCACCCCTGTAATCCAACAGTTGGCGAGGCCTGAGACAGAGATTCTTGTGCCTAGAAGGCTCCCAGAGTGCCTGTGAAACATGTGAAACCCCAATGCTCAAATACAATAGAAATTATGCTGGGTGTGAAGCAGTACTCACTACTCAAGAGCTGAAGGTGAGAGGATGCTTGAGTCTGGAGCTGAGGTTGCAGGTGGCCCCTTGACTTGTGCAGTTGCACTAGTGCGGTGATACGATGAGACTTTGTCTGAAAAAAAAAAAAAGGTTCAAATATAGTTAATCATCTCCACGCCAGTATTCAGCACAATAAAGGATCTACCTGAGGTAGCTAGTTTCCGAAGCTCTGCTCTTTAATTATGGGCCCATTGTCTTCAAAAATACGGTTCCTGACTGAGGTAGGGTGGAGCAGGGAGGCTGAGTCTACCATTGATCTCTAACTGGCGCACCACGGGAATCTGTTAATGGGGGGGAGGCCGCACCTGGCCCTGCCCTCTCACCCCACTCTCAATCCCCTGGCAGGGTGCCACACACAGAGTCTGTGTCCTTGTCCACTGATCCACTGTGACAATCAAAGGGAGACCGCTTGTCTTTCTCTGGTGAGTACTCCCTGGTGCAGGAAGGGAGGTGAAGGAGGAAGGATGTAAGACGGGCTGCACGGGGGCTAGTATGGGTCTAGGAGAAAAGGACACACAAGGTTGGGGCTGTGGTACTATATCCTTATTAAGTGCATAGAATTGTCAGAAAATGGACACTTCATATAACCAAGTCAGTACTATGCCTCAGTTTCCATCTGTGGATGAGGGGTGGAGCATCTCTTTCCACGCATGGAGAACACAAGGAGCTGAAGCAGCTCCACAGTGACAAGGCCTAGAAATACCAACAAGTCTTGTGCCCACTATGGAAGGGGCAAAGAACTTGTGTGTGTGTCTTGTTGTGGTCCCACAAAGAAAGGGACCTGCCCAACACTGTGTGCTCTGCCCCAGCAACGAACCACATCTGCAGTGGATTTCCACACCGAGATGAAGGAGGACTCAGACATTGCCTTCCATTTCCAAGTGTACTTTGGCAATCGTGTGGTCATGAACAGCCGTGAGTTTAGGATCTGGAAGGAGGAGGTGGAATCCAAGAATATGCCCTTTCAAGATGCGTCAAGAATTTGAACTGAAAATCTGGGTCCTGGAAGATAAGTACCAGGTGAGCCACCCTGGAGCTTCCTGCATCTGGCTTCCATGGGCTTTCAGAGCAGGAACAGCTCTTCATGCTGTAGCTCAGATAACTCCCTCTGCTCTATAACTCCCCCTGTCCCGGGCTTTTCATCACCCACACTCCCCTTGTCCCAGCTTTTTAATCACCCATAATTCCCCTTGTCCCAGGCTTTTCATCACCCATAACTCCCCCTGTCCCAGGCTTTTCATCACCCATAATTCCCTTGTTCCAGGCTTTTTCATCACCCACAACTCCCCTTGTCCCAGGCTTTTTAATCACCATAATTCCCCTTGTCCAGGCTTTCATCACCACAACCTCTTTCCCAGGCTTTTCATCACCCATAACTCCCCTGTCCAGGCTTTTTATCACCCATAATTCCCCTGTGTCCAGGCTTTTCATCACACACACAGGGTTCCCTTTACTTTTCTCATTTCTCCTCTCATCATTCAACAAGTGTTGTTGCTTGCACTGCCGTCACCTCTGCTTACACTGCCCAATCCTCAGCTTTTTTCCCATTCCTGATCAGGGTCAACGTTGGTTCACTTGCCATTTTTCCAAAAATGAAGAATATCCTCTATGTTTCCCATAGCTCTCATTTCCATTTATGATGTTATTTAAATTTTCATGTAGCTAAATGGATAAGATATACATATGAATAAAATTGTTTTAGTCAGTCCAATATGAAGGCTTCTTCTCACTCCTCAATCCCAATCCTCAGGACAATATTACTAGCTTCTCTACTCTTCTTCCACAGATAGTCTACCCTTAGAAAAGCATATACGTACGCCCATATATATGCTTTCATTTCTTTTTAAACAAATGCTGGTATAAGTGTCTCTACACATTATACTTTAGGAAGGACAGTTGAATTGTACCCAAAGAATACATATTGGGGAAATAATCTATCCGTGGTGCTGCCTGATTTTATAAGGATTATATAGTATCCCCCAGAAGGATTTTCCCAGCTTGCTGCTCTTGACCCTTTACAAGAGTTGGTTTCCAATGTTTTGCTCTCACAGATGTTACTGTATTAAGCTTTCTAATCAACCCTTTTGTCATTGCCAACTTTTCCCTATTTATATTGGAACATGATTATAAAGAAATGGAATAACTGGTTCAAAGATGCATGGGTTTTAAATTTGAGAATGAAACCCAAAATATAACTCCCTGTGTAGCCTCAGTAATAAAAAACGTGATCAAACTTTCTGACATTTCAAATGGGTAGGCCAAAAGATTCACATTTTATTCACATTAAAGTCAGAGGTGCTATTCTATGTTTATAAGCTATTAAAGATAATATCCTATGTTTTATCACATTAATCCAGTCCCACCTCTCTGAGAACACTTGAGTTTCCTTCCTTGCCACCACCAGCTTGGATCTGAGCAATTCCAGAGAGAAACTGGGTCATCAGCAGTAAGCAACAGTCATAGTTTGTGTAACTGAAATGTATGCATTCAGCGAACATTGCTGAGCACTGACCCCGTGGCTGGCCCTGTGCAAGATGCAGGGATTCAAGTTTAGGAAACAAGTCCCCGGCCTTGGAGATCTTCCAGCATAGCAGGGAGGCTGAGCAACTAGGGCCCATGTGACACGGAGTGATAAAGCCTCACTGGAGAAATGAGAGGAAACATTGAAAATACAGAGAACAGCTGTCTCAAATCGTTACCAAAGGTAGTCTGCAAAAAAGGAATGTGTTCTCCAGGTCCAATTATATAATGAGGCATTTTCTGGTTGGATGTTTCAGGTACTACGACACCATTGAGAGCAGGCTGAAAGCTTGTTTGGTGGAATACAGTCTTTCTGATGTATTTTTCCCTTCTGTAGGTAATGGTCAATGGCCAAGCCTATTACAACTTTAACCATCGAATCCCGGTCAGTTCTGTGAAGATGGTGCAAGTGTGGAGAGATGTCGCTCTGACCAAATTTAATGTCAGCAATTGAAAGAGATAACCAGACTTCATGTTGTCAAGGCATCTCTGATCTACGTGAGCATGGGATTCCCAAAGCCAGCTAACGGCGTGATCTTTTCTCACTTCAATCCTTACTTTTGCTCATTAAAACTTAATCCAACTTCACAGAATTTGGTTCTTGCTTTCATGGGGAGAAAGATAAAGTGGTCATCATCAAGAGGGCTTGGGGGATTTTATGGGTGGTGTGAATGAGTCAAAGAGGATAAGTCTTTCTGAGACACAAAAAGTAAGTGAAAAGGCCAGTGAAATGTCTGAGAAGACATTAGCAACTACATCCTTCTATAGCATCGACTATATGTCAGACTCTCTGAACCAACCCTACACAATTTCAGATGAGTCACTGAGGTGTAGCAATGGGATTGGAGGCTTGAATAACTGAGCCATGACAGGGTGGGTAGAGCTATATCTGAGCTGAGCAGAACTGAGTAGGAACCCCACCCTTTACACTGAAAACAGGGGAGCAGGAACCCTTGGGGGCTCCCATTACTCTGTCTAAACCCCATATCTCATATGTCCCTCCAATTAACTTGGAAAAATGCCAAGAAGAAAATCACCAGAGAAAGAAACTCATGGGCTCGTCCCCTGCGTTCAGGAACAACGGGTATGCAACACCATTTTTCAAAAGGTAGAGCACAGATGCAGAAATTGGATTTGTTCATTTAAAGAGTGCTCATGGGTGATCATGCCCTTCTCACTTCCTCTTTGCAGACTGAGAAAGGAAAAAGTCACTTGACAGAAAAGGAGCTGTAGGCTCAAACAGTGAAAAGGGGAGATACTACTTTCCAGAGTGTAAATCTTGGTCATAGGTGGATAGAAGGCAAACTCTTTGATCAGGGCACACAATGACGGCTCTCACTGATAGTCTCTTCTGTAGGCCTCATTCATCTCCACCACAGACACAAGGTTAGGACACTTCCATTGCCACTCCCTGCAGTGCCCCCACTGCCTCCCCTCACCCAGTAAATCCTAACCATTGATCTCAGAAGACCCCTCCTAATGCCCCAGGCTAACCAAGAGTAAATGTTCTCCCTGGAGTGGCTCCTTTGGAGAGAATTCTGGGCCAGCCCCCTCCATCTGAAATGCTCTAAAGACTGTAATCCTCAGACTGTCTTGATCCCTGTCTTCCCAGTAGGTCTCTATGTTTCTTTTGGACAATTTATTTCTATTCACCAAGCAGAAAGGCAGACACCTGCTTGACATTTCAGGGATTCAATCGACTTTCTGGCCGTTCTCCTTGAAATAAGAAATTATCAGCATGAGATCAGGAGAATTTTGTGTAGAAGACAATGTTTCAATAGCCTGAAGCTAGAAGTCGCCCAGTATCTACCAAGAATAAAACTGCTGAATATGTGTTGGCCAATTTATAAAACTCCAGAGTGGAGACCAGTGAAAAGGAAGGATCTACAGCTCTACATGGCAACATAGATGAATCCTAAAAACAGAAATGTTTTAGAAAAGATGCATGATGCAAGGAAAAAAAATCCAAGATAAACATCTACAGGCAAAATTCAACAAAGTGATAAAACTAAAGCAAAGCCAAAAAGAAGGGCAGAAGCATGGTTGCCAGTAGGTGCAAGAAGGTCACATGATAGGGAAGGAACACAGGAGTCAATGGGTGTTAGCAACAGGCCACAAGTATAATTGTGGTGGCTACATAAGTACTACTTTAATCATGAATTCATCATAATATACTTTTTTTGTTAACTTGGATCAAGTTTTAAAAAATAGTTTAAATTCATAGTCAATAAAACTAAAGAGTAAAACAGAAAGAGAGGAGGGAGGGAGAGGGATTTGAATTCATTTCTTCTTTAAATTCCTAATACAGATTTTAAGGATGTTTTCTGTTATAACAAAGAGAACTTGAGGAGGGGTCCTGAGTGCTCCGCCCCAAGTGAAGACAGCATTGTAGCTGAAGTCTGATCACTTGCACCTGTCCCTGTCTTCGTGCAGGTTTTGAGCTAAGTAGCACACAAATCAAGGACTAGACTTAGGAATCTCACTTTTCTCCCAGAATGTGAGTATCTGAGATTTTATTGCACATGGACACCCAGAGAAAAATGAGAGAGTGTAGATGGAGCCCAGGTGTGTGAGAGATGGAGTGTGAGTGGCCCTCACCTGGCAAAGGCAAGGGGCCTGGATAGGGTCAGGATGACACAGAGACTCTCTCTACCTCTCTCCCCAGGTCCTGTTGAGGATCAAGGTCTTTGGTGCCCCAGAATCTCTGAAAGAGAAAGAGAGAATTTTTATTTTCCATGGTTGAGTGTCTTGCATTGAGAATTTCCATTTTAAAAATATCATCCAAGTTAGAAAAATGCACACATTGTGGGGGGGATGGCCAAGATGGCTGAATAGGAACATCTCCAGTCTTCAGCTCCCAGCATGAGTGACACAGAAAATGGGTGATTTCTGCATTTTCAGCTGAGGTACCAGGTTCATGTCTCTGAGGCGTGTCGAACAGTCGGTGTTGGTCAATGGGTGCAGCCCAACCAGTGAGAGCTGAAGCAGGGTGAGGCATCGCCTCACCTGGGAAGAGCAAGGGGGAAGGGAATTCCTTTTCCTAGCCAAGGGAAACTGAGACACACAACATCTGGAAAATCAGGTCACTCCCACCCTAATACTGCGCTTTACCAAGAGTCTTAGCAAATGGCACACCAGGAGATTATATCCCACGCCTGGCCTGGGGGTCCCACGCCAATGGAGCCTCCCTCCTTGCTAGCACAGCAGTCTGAGATCTAACTGCAAGGCGGCAGCCAGGCTGGGGGAGGGGGCGCCCACCTTTGCTGAGGCTTAAGTAGTTAAACAAAGCCCTGGGAAGCTCGAACTGGGTGGAGCCCACCGCAGCTCAAGGAGGCCTGCCTGCCTCTGTAGACTCCACCTATGGGAACAGGGGATAGCTAAACAAGAAGCAACAGAAACCTCTGCAGATGTAAATGCCCCTGTCTGACAGCTTTGAAGAGAGCAGTGGTTCTCCCACTGTCAACATTAGACAGATCAACAACACAGAAAGTTAACAAGGATATCCAGGAATTGAACTCAACTCTGCACCAAGCAGACCTAATAGACATCTACAGAACTCTTCCCCCCCCACCCCAAATCAACAGAATATACATTCTTCACAGCACCACATCGCACTTATTCCAAAATTGACCACATAGTTGGAAGTAAAGCACTCCTCAGCAAATGTAAAACAACAGAAATTATCACAAACTGTCTCTCAGACCACAATGCAATCAAACTAGAACTCAGGACTAAGAAACTCAACCAAAACCACCCAACTACATGGAAACTGAACAACCTGCTCCTGAATGACTACTGGGTACATAACGAAATGAAGGCAGAAATAAAGATGTTCTTTGAAACCAATGAAAACAAAGATACAGCATACCAGAATCTCTGGGACACATTTAAAGCAGTGTGTAGAGGGAAATTTATAGCACTAAATGCCCACAAGATAAAGCTAGAAAGATCTAAAATTGACACCCTAACATCACAATTAAAAGAACTAGAGAAGTAAGAGCAAACACATTCAAAAGCTAGCCGAAGGCAAGAAATAAGTAAAATCAGAGCAGAACTGAAGGAGATAGAGACACGAAAAACCCTTCAAAAAATCAATGAATCTAGGAACTGGTTTTTTGAAAAGATCAACAAACTTGATAGATGGCTAGCAAGACTAATAAAGAAGAAAAGAGAGAAGAATCAAATAGATGCAATAAAAATGATAAAGAGGATATCACCACTGATCCCAAAGAAATACAAACTACCAACAGAGAATACTATAAACACCTCTACACAAATAAACTAGAAAACCTAGGAGAAATGGATAAATTCCTGGACACAAGCACACTCCCAAGACTAAACCAGGAAGAAGCTGAATCCCTGAATAGACCAATAGCAGGCTCTGAAATTGAGGCAATAATTAATGGCTTACCAACCAAAAAAAATTCAGGACCAGATGGATTCACAGCCGAATTCTACCAGAGGTACAAGGAGGAGCTGGTACCATCCCTTCTGAAACTACTCCAATCAATAGAAAAAGAGGGAATCCTCCCTAACTCTTTTTAGGAGGCCCACGTCATCCTGATACTAAAGCCTGGCAGAGACACAACAAAAAAAGAGAATTTTAGACCAATATCCCTGACCAACATTGATGCAAAAATCCTCAATAAAATACTGGCAAACCGGATCCAGCAGCACATCAAAAAGCTTATCCACCATGATCAAGTGAGCTTCATCCCTGGGATGCAAGGCTGCTTCAAAATACGCAATCAGTATACATAATCCAGCATATAAACCGAACCAAAGGCGAAAACCACATGATTTTCTCAATAGATGCAGAAAAGGCCTTTGACAAAATTCAACAGCCCTTCATGCTAAAAATTCTCAATAAATTCGGTATTGATGGAACCATATCTCAAAATAATAAGAACATTTATGACAAAACCCGACAGCCAATATATACTGAATGGGCCAAAACTGGAAGCCATTCCCTTGAAAACGCACAAGACAGGGGATGCCCTCTCTCAACCACCCTATTCAACATAGTGTTGGAGAGTTTCTGGCTAGGCAAATCAGGCACAGAGAAAGAAATCAAGGTATTCAGTTAGGAAAAAGAGAAAGAAAGTCAGAATTGTCCCTGTTTGCAGATGACATGATTGTAAGATTAGAAAACCCCCATCATCTCAGCCAAAAATTTCTTAAGCTGATAAGGAAACTTCAGCAAAGTCTCAGGGATACAAATCATTGGTGCAAAAAATCACAACATTTCTATACCCCAGTAACAGATAAACCAGAGAGCCAAATCAGGATAACTCCCATTCCAAAGTGGCTTCAAAAGAGAAAATAAAATACCTAGGAATCCAACTGACAAGGGAAATTAAAGACTATTCAAAGGAGAAACTACAAACCACTGCTCATGGAAAATATAAGAAGTAAAACCAATGGAAGAACATTCCATGCCATGGAAGAGAGAATCATACCGGAAAATGGCCATACTGCCAAAGAAATTTATATTCAAGTCCCCATCCCCATTAACCACCCAATGAACTTCTTCCAAAATGGAAAAACTGCTTTAAAGTTCATATGGAACCAAAAAAAGCCTGCATTGCCA